AACACAACCAGCAGTTGTGGTGGAGGAAAAGTCCAACAAGAGATCAACACATAATAATAAGACAAGTGATGTAACAGGATAAGGCTCACCATAAAGATTTTAGATTAAAAACCAAAGTAACAAGAGATCTACCACTGCAGTACTTTCCTACACCAGATATGTGACTGGATAAACTACTGTGTAAGCAATTTAATGATGTTAACGAAGATGAAAAGTGGAGAAAGAATAAGGAAATGGGAGAAAAGAAACTGTGAATGCACTAGGAGGCCCGTAGCCAGGATTTCAATTCAGGGTGGGGGGGAGGGGCTGAGTTTGAGTGAAAGAGAGTCTACCCTAGCAAACCTTTTGTATCGTTACCCCAATACCCCCATGCATATGGGATATATTGAGCATGGTGATCAGATCATGATATGAATAAACATAACAGTTTAAATAATGCACCATAAGGCCTTTTCGCGGACCACCCTGAGAATTTGGGGGGGCTCAAGCCCCTCAAGCCCCCCCCCCCCCGGCTACATGCCTGGCTATAGGTATCTCAACTGTCAATACGAGGGCCAAATGCATAGGTAATGTTAAGCTTTCCCTCTACCATCTCAAGTGCAAAATGAAACATTGTGAGTTCATGTATCAGGGTTGTGTCAAAATTTTTAAACTATTCAAAAATAACAAAAAACGAATGAGAGCCATAAGTCAATGAGAACAAAAATCTAACTGAAATGCTTTGCAGTCGTCTCTCCATTTTCATGTGGGTTAGGGGCACAGGATCCTTGCAAAAGTGGAAATATCATGTAGTCCCCTCTCCCAACTATATTTTACCCAAAAAGTATCTGTTCTGATGCAGTGGCAGGGCCTGCCAGCATACCTGTCCTTTTGTACATTAACTAACTCACAACCTTGAGCAGACAGAGGGAAAGAAGAGGATGGATCAGGAAGTCAAGGGACAGGAGAAAGGGGACATTTGTTGAGTCCCATCCTGTTGTGGTTCAGCCTGTGATTGTTTCATTGCCTGATGTTTCAGAGAACAGTGAACAAGATTTCACTACCTATGAGGATGCTTGCCATAGATACAGGCGGAACGTCAGGAGAGAATGCCTCTAGAACATGGCCATATAGCCCGAAAAAACCTACAACAACCCAACAGTGAACAAGATTTTGCCGACCATCAGGAGTCTGAGGCTGGGGATTTTGGACAGGAGTCTGGTGTTGCTCCTGATGCAGCTGAGGATTCTGGGATTGTCAGGCCAACTGTGGATGTTCAGTTAGAGACAGATTCAGAGGATGACAGGCCTGATCTAGCTTTCCCAAGAGAACCAAGGTTGGAATTTGAAAGGAATGTGTTAATTGGAGATGTAGAGCAGTCTGACTTCCTTTAGTTAGATAGAAGAAAAGAGATTTGTCAACAAAGACAGATGGCCCAGGGGAGGCACTGCTCTCTCAGACTGTTATCTAAGAAAGGTCCTCCTCAGACTTCTCAAGGAAAAAAAAAATGTTTCTTAAGTATAAATGGGAGTTGATTTGGGTTCTTCAGAGGAATCAATGTCTAGTAAAGGGAACAAACCTCTCCCTTGTTTCAAGCTTCATGGGCCTTTGATTTTTCTATGGTTTCAAGTATTTTTCATGGTTCCTTGTATTGTTCCTGGATTTCAGTGGTATCATGGAGTCATGTAACTCTTTGGATCTTTATTATGCTTATCATGTACTTTTAATCCTCTTGATTGTTTTGTGTGCCAAGTCTTCAGTTTAAAACCTTATCTTGGTCTTTTGGATTATTGCTTCCAAGTTTTTAAGAGACTGCTTTATATGGAAAATATTTTATATTAGTTTTAAATGCTTTTATTCTTTTGCTGAAGCTATTTTCAATCTTTAATAAACTGCTTTGCTTATATACTGAACTCTGGATTGTGAAATTGGTCCAAGGGTGCCTTCCCAGCCCTGTTGTGTGACATATCCCCACCTTCTAACTATGCAAATGAGCAAACATTACTAGGGATTTCATTCTATGTAATCTTTATTTCCCTGTGCTACTGAAATGGACTCCCACAGAGGCCATCACACAAGACCCTTCTGGTGGTTACTCGTGGGATTCTGTTCCAGGAGTGCAGGAAAACAAAGGGAAGACTGCATTTCCCTCTGGCCAAACTTACCTGTCCAAACTTATTTCTCCCTATGAACCAGCTAGAGTGTTGAGATCCACTGGGGAGGCCCTGCTCTTGGTTCCATCCCCTTCACAAGTGCAACTGGTGGGCATGAGAGACAGGGCCTTCTCAGTGGTGGCCCCTCAGTCATGGAACTCCCTCCCCCATGATATTCGATCAGCCACTTCCCTCCTGGTCTTCAGGAAAAATGTTAAGTTCTGGCTCTGGAACCAGGCGTTTGGAGAATAGGGCAACAGTGCAATACAGAACAGACATTAATGCGGCAGCATAAAGGACGACAATGGGTTTAGGATTACGTTTTTAACAGTTTTAACAGTTTTATTGTATTTTTATATTTATGTTTTTTATTTTAACTTGATGTATTTATACACTGTGTTTGGTATGTGGCACTGAAGTGGCCAAACTGTAAACCACTCTGAGTCCCCTTTAGGGTGAGAAGAGCAGGATAGAAGTACACTAAGTAAGTAAATAAATAAATAATACATTTCCAGGAGTACAGTGCTACCCTACTCCAACTGAGAGAAGCCACAGAGAAGCTGGATAGAAGCAGGGAAAGGTGATAAAAGAATATGGCATGGCAGGTCCTAAATGCTCTTCTCCCACCCCATTTCCTTCTTCCTCCTGTCCCAAGTGAGGAAACATACATGTCTATCTGCCTCCTGTCCCATCCCATCATACTTCTGCCGCCAAAGAGTTCCTGAGTGGAAAGATTTAAGAAGCCCGGATCTAGAATATGCAGAGCCTGCTGATCTCAGCTTGAGTGGTGACAAGGAGAAAGGAGGGTGCACTCTTAAAGTCAGATTCTCTCTTCTTACCTCTGGTAAAATAGAGCACCAGTAGTCCCTCTGGTACTTGATAGCTTCCAGGTGTGGAAGGTGTTGGAACAGAAAGCAAGGTCAGGTGAGAGTCCTCAGTGTTCCATCTAAACAGGGGCCTTAAATGCAGATAAGCCACCCTTATGTCCATGTAAGTGTATGGAAATTATGTCTCCTGATATCTTCACATATAAAGCTTATATAGAAATTGTCAACATAACTACCTCTTCCACATGTTCTAATCCTCTACATCAGTGGTTCTCAGCCTGTGGATCCCCAGGTGTTTTGGCCTACAACTCCCAGAAATCCCAGTCAGTTTACCAGCTGTTAGGATTTCTGGGAGTTGAAGCCAAAACATCTGGGGACCCACAGAGTGAGAAACTGCTCTACATGAAAATGTGTCTATGAGACCGTGGGCTTGTTTACACTGATGAAAAATACTGTTTGTCGTATCTTCCTGGTTTGCATTCACCATGCAGTGACACCATTAATGCTGCACATATTGTGGGGAAAAGACAGGGTTTTTTCTGAAGTGGATTAATTCCCTAAGAAGCATATCACAAACAAGTTGCTACAGGTGTCATGTGCCAGGATAAGGGTGCAAGCGAGACATGATTTTTTAGTCTGTGTGGACAAGCCCTGTGTAAAGTGTATGTATCTCTGTGTTTGAATGGGTTGGCAGTATGTGTGAGAGCAGGAAATGAAGAAATGTCAGTCTCTACCATGTTGCAACTTAAGTTAAAGCTACGAAATAGTGACATGCAGTAACAGAAACATATGTTCTGGATTATGCAACACAGAGACATACAAAATAGACAAAGGTGTATAAACAGTAATGGCGCTACATGCGGTTATGCCAGCCACATGACCTGGGAGGTGTCTATGGACAACGCTGGCCCTTCGGCTTAGAAATTTAGATGAGTACCAACCCCCAGAGTTGGACACGACTAGCCTTAGTGCAGTGTTTCTCAACCTGGGGGTTGGGACCCCGGGGGGGGGGGTCATGAGGGGGTTTCATAGGGGTCACCAAAGACCATCAGAAAACATGTATTTCTGATGGTCTGAGGAACCCATTTGGCAGAGAAGGCTGAAGATATCTCCACCTGTCCTTCTCTTCTTTTTTGGAAAAAGGCTGTTAATCCTCCCAAAAGCCTTCCTCCTGATTGGCCGGTTTCTCAGTTGGTCTCTTAGCCAAGGGAAGGGCTGTTTATGACACTCCAAGTGGGGAAGGGAGAGCAGGTATGCTTGGTGCATGGCAGTCATGGTGTTCATGCGTAGGTGAGGGAGAGTGTGTGAGGCTGGAGGGAGGCTCATGCCAGTGAGTCCCTTCAAGGCATGGGAGTTCTGTGTGGGAAGTTTGGCCCAATTCTATCGTTGGTGGGGTTCAGAATGCTCTTTGATTGTAGGTGAACTATAACTTCCCAGCAACTACCATTCCCAAATGTCAAGGTCTATTTTCCCCAAACTCCACCAGTGTTCTCATCTGGGCTTATTGAGTATTCGTGCCATGTTTGGTCCAGATCCATCATTGTTCGAGTCCACAATGTTCTTTGGATGTAGGTGATCTACAATTCCAAAACACAAGGTCAATGCCCACCAAGCCCTTCCAGTATTTTCTCTTGGTCATGGGAGTTCTGTGTGCCAAGTTTGGCCCAATTCTATCGTTGGTGGAGTTCAGAATGCCCTTTGATTGTAGGTGAACTATAAATCCCAGCAACTACATCTCCCGAATGACAAAATTAATCCCCTCAACCCCACCAGTTCAAATTTGGGTGTATCAGGTATTTGTGCCAAATTTGATCCAGTGAATGAAAATGCATCCTGCATATCAGATATTTACATGATGATTCATAACAGTAGCAAAATTAGAGTTATGAAGTAGCAACAAAAATAATGTTATGGTTGGGGGTCACCACAACATGAACGACTGTGTTAAAGGGTCACAGCATTAGGAAGGTTGAGAAACACTGACTTAGTGTCAGGGGAAAACCTTTACCTATATCTATATACAGGACAGAAGTGAACACAGTTTCAGTACAAAAAGGTTTTATTATTGGCATGAAAGGTGAAATTCCAAGAGAACATGTAATGCAAATGCTATCTTTATTCTTACAAATTTCCTCACAAAGATGTTGGTTTGAATAGGACTGTTGTAGCAAAATGTTCAATAATTCACCAGGTGGGCATGGAGCCCTTTCTTAAGGAATCTGTGTCTATATGTTATAAAGGTGTCACAGCTCTGCAACAGAAGATATGACGGACATCCATATCAGCTGTGTCTAATAGAAATACTGAATTGGTAGATTTTCCATTAAGGAAAAGAACAAGGAAGAGGAACACTCCCTTTTCCCATATGAGTACCATTTAAAAGGTTATAGCACACTGATGAGGCCAATACATATATTATATGGGCATCTCTGTCTCCACAGGTTATTGCTGCTCCTTTTTGCCTGATAAACTACAGTGTAAATAAGCCTTACAATATTTCAGTGTAAAGCAACGTGTGTGTATGTGTGTGTGAAAAGTGGGGAAAAGTTTCTATAGTATATACAATAATTTATGTAATTAGAGATGTTCTTTATCATGTAACCCCACCAAAAATGCTATCAGGCAAATAACCACAGATTGCTTATTATGATGGCTCTGGAGTTTGTTTCCTCTTTTAAAAAACAGAAAAAGATACTCTGCACAAATCATTAACTCATACCTAAACTGGAATGCAAAACAGAAGCAACAAAAGAGAAGAAATAAACCAAACTACCCAATAACATGGGCGATGGAAATATTTAATACAGTTCATAATTGAAAGTAACTGGGCAGATATTCCCAATTTTCCCCGTTATTGCCACATTCCATTCACTTTTCAGAAAGTGAACATAGACTATATATATGTATATATATACAATATATATGTTTGCTTTTATAAAGGCATGTATTTTAGTTTTTAAGCCAGTACTGTACAGAACTGTGCAACCTAATGTATGAAATATAACACAGGAAACTCAGCATGTAACTATAGAACATTTAATGTCCCGATTCAGAGATCCTGTTTTGCTGGTAGCAAGGATGTGTTACACACACAGAATATAATTTTCACATGAGCAACACCTTGCAAGGTCTCATGGTGCACAGGAAATAAAAGCAGATTCACTGCTTTATTTTCCACATGCAGGAACTGACAGAAAATCCTGCTATATGGGAATCCCACGTTAGATTAGTCTCTGAGTATATAAGGTGATGCAAATGTTGAAATGGCCACATTGACAATATGGTACAGACAGCCTTCCAAACTGGCTATCTGCTTCTTACCTCAAGGGAGAACATATGTCTCCATGGATGCACCATATGTAATACCAGCTCTTTTGTACACATGTACCTCTTAATAAAGTCCAAGATATTTAATATTTATTTACACAAGTGTGCATGTGCACACATAGTTTCTGTAGTGATACCCCTGAATATAATCAAACAATAAAACATTTTTTCAAATTAGAAAATCATTTATGAAGAGATCACCTTTCACTCCTAAAGGTCAATATAATCTAATATTTTCATTATAAACAGTTTATTTACATAGAAATTAAACTGTGGTCCCATAGATACATTATAACTGAGAAAGTCATTTAAAAACTATTTACACTTGGGAATGAGTGTGACCTTCTGGATAATGGATTATGCAAAGACCAGGGTAGGGATGGGGGATAAGAAAGGGTATATTTTAAGATGGGTATATTTTATTAGTATTTTCAAGCTGTATTTTTTTGTGCATGTTCCAAATTTCTTCTTTTGAGTCATTGACTGCCTCTATTTGCCTTGTATTGCTGCTGCTTCGTTTAGTGTTCTGAGAAGACTGGCTGACTTTATTTTTGGGCACAGGAAGAAACGATTTCGCTCTAGAAACACCACTCTTCACAGACTCAGTTTTTGGTTTACTGTTGCTGAATTCCACGGTTTGACTGCTGCTGCGAAGACAGATCCCAGGATTCCCATCCTGCAAACACAGTAACATTTTACAGCATAAATACATTTACTTGTGATAGAAGCAAGAAGCAACACTGTGGGATCAATAGCCCTGAACTCACACAAAGCTTTTGTTGCAAGCTGTAACAAATGTGTTGAGTGAAATGGAAAATTTTAGAGTCTAGCAGATAATGGGTAGTTCCGTGTTGCAGTCTGCTCTCTCTGGGTTTCAGAGTTTGCTTCTTTCTGATACTAAGGCAATCCACTGCATGCTTGTTGGGAAATATGTGACACTGTGTTCAGTGATTTTAAGAAGTAATTTGTTCCTAGAACACATTCATCCTAGTAAGATGTGAGGAAGACTGTATGTTATGAAGAACACATAATATGGAAGTGCTATATCAAATCCTTTTCTTGTCCCCTACATGTAGTTCAGCTAAATAGATTCCTACTGTGGGCAACAGAAGGAAGGAAAAAAAGCAGAGGATATATACCCATATTAAACAAAAATACAAATAAATAATATTAACACAGTAAAATGGAATACAGTAGTGAAAAAACTGAATAGTGATCCAGTCATATTTCTTGACAACTCCTAAATGTGTGAAAGTCTGAACCTGGCACAAACATGCAAGTAAAATTGATACCAAGCATGCTTTTGTAGGAATGCATACAGGGGTTATCATAACTCAACAAGCTCTATCTCAAATTACTTCAGGGTATCGGAAACCATGTGGCCCTCAATTAGGGCTTAAGTCCAGGCTACCTGGAAGACACACTCTCTCTCTGTCTACCTCTCTCTGAGCTTGTTCTGGACCTAAGGGTCTTCATGAGCGGTCATTCTCTCAGCCCCATCACCATCACAAACACAGATGGAGGAGACGTGAGAGAGGGCTTTTTTTGTGGTTGCCTTTAGACTCCAGAACACCTTTCCAAGGAGACCAGAATCTAATCCTTTGCTGCCCTCCTTTTGGCTGATAGAAACCCTTTTATTTTAACAGGTTTTTTAAAACAGAGCTTTACAAACAGATTAAGGATCTCTTTACTTGGAGATTATTCAGCTGGGGGACAGTGTGTGAATCCGTTGGGCAGCAGGATAAATCCGTTGGGCAGTGGAGGAAGCTGTCCTTAAGCCCCCATACCCCACTGCTCCTTTCCCCATCACATGGGGGAAACTGTCGCTGCTCAGTTTCCTCCTGTGCTGTCCCTGTCTTAAATAATGAAATCTCAGGGCTCCATCCTATGATGCTTCCAAGACAGAGTCCTGCTGGAAGTAGCCCTGCGTCATGTGGTGGACTTTGTCAGGCTCCATCCTGGAAGCATCAGAGGATGGAGCAAAAGCCCCATGTTATGAGGTCCTGAGGGTTTTACACTGAATTGTATTACAGAGTAGCTTTCCATCATTGAAATATTGTTGATCGTTTAATTCTATTTTAATGTTCACTGTTTTGTATCGTTTTTACAATGATTCATGTGTCAAATTGAGCTATTTATCATTATTGAGTTACATATTTAATTGTATAGTGGAGATTCGCGTATGAATTGCTATATTTATAATAATGCCCACTCTAAATTTTCTGTTAACTCTGAATGACACACACTAATCTCTCGCCTTTAAAAAGTGAAAAGTTTGCATTAAATTTAATTTCAGAGGAGCTATGACAGAGTACTTTACTTGTGTCACCACAAACTGATATAAGTGTACTGTTAAAGATAAAATTGGTCCATGACTCAAAACAGTTTGCATTGGACTTCTGAACGAATACAGAAGACCTAGGCTGCATGCATGCTTATCTAAATGAAAGTGGTTTTTTTTTTGGTCTTGTCAGGAGCGACCTGGTGTGAGAGAATTGGCCGTCTGTAAGGACGTTGCCCAGGGGATGCCCGGATGATTTTGATGTTTTTATCATCCTTGTGGCAGGCTTCTCTCATGTCCCCGCATGAGGATCTGGATCTGATAGAGGGAGCTCATCCACCTCTCCCCGGATTCGAACCTGCGACCTGTCGGTCTTCAGTCCTGCCAGCACAGGGGTTTAACCCACTGCGCCACCGGGGGCTTCATTAAATGAAAATAATTTAAACTGACTCCCATAGTTGGAAGTTGAGCAAAAAGAAGATCTCAGTTGATGAGATGCTGGAGTGGTTTTCTGGTCTGACCTCACTCCCAATCCTACTTTACCAAAGAACATCTGCTTTGAGCAATGTTTCCTGGTGTTTTCTGCACTTTGCTTAGCTTGGAAAACGCCTTGAGTCCCCTTGGGGAGATAGAGCGTTATATAAAGTTGTTTATTATTATTATTATTATTATTATTATTATTATTATTATCATCATCATCATCATCATCATCATCATCATCATCATCTCTGGTGCAACAAGTAGAAGGAGGATCCCTGTCGCAGTTCTTCTTTGTACTGGAGATTTCTACGAGAATCCAGAAGAAATATCAATATGTTGGTCTCTGATTAATAGAACAGATCTCCATTGCTTTTAGGGCTTCCTGTCTTGCAAAGAGGATTGGGGGACTGTTACAAGCACTGCAACAGTGCCATGATAGTGAATACTTAGGGACTGTACATACAAACAAGTGATGGATCAGTAAATGCTAGGCTACATACCCATATCTGTGGCGATGAATTCTAGCCAATATCTCTATTGCCATGTGCCTTGTCTTCCTGTCTTTTTCCATCTTACATTGACAGAAAAATGCACCAAGATGGAAGAGCCCCAGGCGTAACTGAGCACAGCCATCTGCTTGCTGCATTTCTGATTCTTACTGAGCTATCCTGCTGCTTTCTAATTGGGATGCCGAAACCTGCTAATACATTCATGACCTTCACCAAGGAGACTGAAAGCTGCTGAATACCGTTGAGACTTCTCCACAATTGAGCACAAATTCTGGATGCAGCAAAAACAACTGTCTTCTTTGAACAATAGGTTATGCCGACATTGCTTCCAGGTGAAAAACAGCACTGCTGAAACTGCTTTTTCCAAGAAACAATTCAAGGTACAAAATCCCTGTCCTTTTTTTCACTGAGCAAGCTCCAGCTGGTGATCAAAAACCTTTTAATTCAGACCAGCTTTTGATAACTGACCAGCTATGAGGAAGGGACTTTGAAATTTGTGAATGTATATACTGTACTCTGTATTATATATATTTAATTGCATCGTACGCTTTGAATTCCTTTTATTTTGTTTTTTTAAATTCCTGATTTGCTGAAAGCTGCTTTTAGTTTTATTTTTAAAAAAGAAATTCAGGCTACAATTCCAATCATTCAGTGAATGAGTCAGTCATTTCTTATATTCCTAGATTGCTTCCCCCTTCCCTAGAAGCTTCTGTATTTGCTTATTATGGGGAAAACAGAGCTCATTTTAATGCTGTCTTTGTAGCATTTCCAAGCTGTTGCCATGACCTGCTTGGAGACTCCCCTCTTTCTCGCCTCACATGTGGAGAAGGCGGAAGTCTCAGAGAGAGAGAGAGAGAGAAACAAAAAGCCTTTCAGCAAGTTAGCAGTTTGAATTGTCACCTCCAACAAGACCTCCTCCTCAGTTCTATTTTCATCAGTCGCTTTCTCAGTGTTTTCTAATTTCCATGGAAACTGCAGCCATCTGGAGGGTTCACTATATCTGGGCATGCTCACGAAGGGCTGAAGCCAAATCCTCTCCTCTTAGTGCTGAGGAATCTGCATTTCCCATTTTTCCTCAGCATGGAATCCAAGGACAAGGCCTCCTATTTCTCTGTCACCAATCAATTGTTGTTGTGGGCCTTCAAATCATTTCTGATTTATGACAACCTTAAGGCAACCCTATTACAAGTTTTTCTCAGTCAGATTTACTCAGGGAGGGTTTGCCTTTGTCTTCCTCTAAGGCTGAGAAGGTATGAGTTGTCCAAGTTCAACATTGGAAAAGTTGGCTGAACTTGGACAAGTCACGGTGGCTTTCCATAGTATAGTGGGGTCTGCAGAGTCATAGTCCAAAGCTCAAATCATAATGCCACACTATGCTTTGGAAATATTCTAGGGCACAATGCTCATTTCAAGTGTTTTCACTCATTCGAAGCAGTTCATCAGATTATTATATCAGTCATTATTAAGTATATGAACACAAAGACAGGGAAAACCTTGTGATTATTGTTCTCTCTCTTGTAATCTTTTAAAGGGCTGCCTTTAAAACTTAGTTGAAAAATTGACATCTTTCCTGAAAAGGATCCATGAATTAAAAAATTTAGACTGGCCATCCACTTTACAATGTGCTTGAATTTTGATTTCCAAATCCATTTGTAACCCAATTGAAAAAAGGTATTTCTGCTTGAAAACCTGAAACATTTCCTCCATGTGTTTCTACCAACATGTTAAAATCATCTTCTGTGCACCCACAAAATATAAGGCATTTTTTGTGGTGGCAATCTGGTTATATGACACGACATGACCTTTCAAATAGCTTTCTTTCAGCCTGGTCTCTTTAAAATTAATTTTTTACACTGCATCTTTATATTTATATTATACCCTATAGGCAAGAGATCCTATCTGATCTTGGAAACTAAACAGTGTCAGTTCTGGTTAGTTCTTGGATGGCAGAGCACCAATGAATCCCCGGAGCTGTAGACAATATATTTCAAAGGAATGAACTGGCAAATCTACATCTGAATATATTTAAGAAAACCCTATGAAATTCCTGAGGTTTCCATAAATTGACAGGCAACTTGAGGGCACATAGATTTTTTTATCTTTAATATTTCTTTGTTAATACTATATTTTAATGTGTTTGTTTGCAAGCTACGCAGAAGACTTCCCTTATAAAACAACTTAACCATGAGAGCAAGTGAATAGTGGCAATCACATGCTATCAGCCCTGGAAAACCACATGATAGGTTGCTTTGGGGTCCCCATAAGTCAGAAATGACTTGAAAGCACACAACAAAGTAGGGGTAGAAAGAAACCCCAAACAAATTACAACATTTACACTCTGTCTGGAATACATCAGATAGAGGACCCAACACTCCGCTAAAAAATCCCCCCCCCTTTTTTTTTTTGCTAACCATCATGTCTCATAATTCTAATGGCACTACACAATCCCTTGTTTGTTGGTATGGAAATGGCTTTATTGAAGATGTCTGAGTCTGTTGTCAGAATGGACAAATATTTCACTGGGATCTCACACTTAGAAACAGCGGGACAAACTATCTCTACTGAGCCATTTTTTTTTTGCTCCAGCACAGTTGTCAGATGTTCATTTGCCAAAAGCTCCATTCCTTGTTCATGGTATTTGAGTGTTAATTTGCCCCATTAATTTTCCAATGCATAATGTGGTGATTGTTTCTGATAAAACTCTCTAAATTCTTTACTTCCACACCGCTTTCAGTACTACAGTGCTAGCAATTCTTAATTATAAATAGGACTTTAGGAAATCTCCCTGCAATGAGCCATTCTGGCAGCCGCTTAAGAAATTCCATTTGTAGGGCTCATCTCATGGCTCTTCCCTCTGCTTCACAGGACTTTGGTACAAATATGCTGGAGATTTCAAAATTTTCAGCACTACTGGAAATCCTTCATAAATTATAAATAGTCATAGTATATTGTAAAGGTTTTTTCATGTGCTCTGTCAAAATTATCGGAAAAGTCAGCAGAGACGCAACTGGAAGGCCAAATGTTTATATCATATCATTTTCAAATAAATTGACTTCTTAAAGTTTGTTTTCTGAATGAAATATCTTAAGAACAAGCAATGACTATTACCTGTTCATAAAACCCAGAACCTCAATCAGTGGTCAATACTGGATGAGAAACACCCTCCTGGGCACACAGAAGACTGGGTAATTTGGAAGGCATTGAACAGACTGTGCTCTGGCACTATGAGATGCAGAGACAATTTTAAGTAATGGGCTGTAAAGTGGGCTCCACGACATGTGCGTGTGGAGAAGAGCAAACCACAGACCACTTATTATAATGCAGTCTGAGCCCTGCCACCTGCACAATGGAGGACCTTCTTACGGTGACACCAGAGGCACTTGAAGTGGCCACCTTCTGGTCAAGGGAAATGTAGTATAATGCCAAGTTTTAAACTTTTTTTACAATACAATACAAAACTTAATGCGGTCACTGACCAGCACAAAGCAGAAGTTTGTTTGTGGTTTTTCTGTACATTATAACTGTATTCTCAATTAGCTTCTGGCACGATACATAAATAAATGGCCATGTTCTAGAAGCATTCTCTCCTGACATTTCTCCTGCATCTATGGCAGGCATACTCAGAGGTGTGCAGGTGAAACATCAGGAGAGAATGCTTCTAGAACATGGCCATATAGCCTGAAAAACCTACAACAACCAAGTGATTCTGGCCATGAAAGCCTTTGACTATACATTCAACAACAAAACCTTCAACAATCATGCATTGATCACACCCAATGTGTTCAGAACTGTCTTAACTGTTTCCAAATTAATAAGTTACTCTAAACTGGTGGTCTGAATGCAAAGAGACATCTTTCTATTATATACACTGTAGCTTGACACATACCTGCTGTGATGCTGATGTATTTGCATTAATGATGTTGGCTGAAAGCACAGGATCCTTCTGAGAAGTACTGATCATCTTCATCAGATCATCCTTGGAATCAACTATCTAAATACAATTTGGTGGAGAAGGAAGACAGAGAAAGGTCATTTTCAGAAGACCCAATAATATAAAGCAATGATGATCCCCTAGGCTTAATTTCTACTCACAATGGGATGATTCAGATGACAGAAATAGCATCAGTGACTAAAAGGCAATGTTATTAACCTATACTTTTTGTCTCCATTGTGAATTCTCAAATGGATGACATTAACACTTAAGAACTGAACTATTAAACAACAATAATTCTTCCATCATAATCTAGAGATTCAAAGAAACCACTTTCAATACACTGATAATCCTCTTAAACGGCTGTAATCTACACTGTACACTTGCCAAAGCAATTTGCAGCATTGAAAAGTATTTCCATCAGTCTATAGTATGCTCCTCATGAGAAGGTTTATGCAAAGAGTCTGCCAATTCCATGCCACTGTCCTGAATGTGCACAAGATAGCAATCAGACATTTGTTGTAGTAGCACAGAACATTTCCACAGGATTAACTTCTCTCTGCCTGATGGGCTAAGTATATGATACAGTTGTCACACAAGAGGTTTCCTGTATTGTACAACTGAATACAGACTGATGAACCAAGTGTAACATAAGCATTTTTATCAACATCATCATAAGCATCACCTTCACTATCCTTTATGTCAAGAATGGGCAACTGTGGTTTGTTATGGGGGCACATTACTTTTGAGGAGCTCCTAAAGGGCTGAATCCCCCATTCTCTGCAGGCCCTCTCCTATCTTTTGGTCCTAAATGCCTCAAATCAATTTTAGGAGGCATTGTCAGCATTTTTCACTGTGTTTTTGGACCTCCAGTGGGCCAATGTAGGGCCAGGAGAGATCTTTTGTAGCTATAGGAAGTGATTGGAAGTCATTTCTAGTTCACTTCCTATTTTAGAAACAGGTTTCTTCTGGGCCACGATTGGTCTAGGCTAGGGGTATAGAAGGTAAAGATCCAGTCGTGTCCGACTCTGGGGTGTTGTGCTCATCTCCATTTCTAAGCCGAAGAGCCAGCATTGTTCATAGACACCTTCAAGGTCATGTGGCTGGCATGACTGCATGGAGCGCCATTACCGTCCCGCAGAAGCGGTACCTATTGATCTGCTCACATTTGCATGTTTTTGAACTGCTAGGTTGGCAGGAACTGGGGCTAACACTGGGAGCTCATGCCACTCCCCGGATTCAAACCTGCAACCTTTCGATCAGCAAGTTCAGCAGCTCAGTGGTTTAACCCATTGCGCCACCGGGGGCCGCAGGGGTACCAAAATGCTGTGAAAATATTTTTGTGCTCTGCTCCCTAGAGGACTCTGGGGAGCATTTTAGGACAAAAATTATTTCCCCAATTTTTTTTTTACCCCTGGAGGGTTTAGGGAGCACAAAAAGGCTCAAGACATAGTAACCTTTCTCCATCCAAAAGGTGTTAGCTACCCTGTATATAAACATTGCCAAGGAGGCAATACAGGTAGAAAAGAGGAGGACAATAGTACTATGCTGTCGATTCTGTTATGCATTATTAGGTTTAGTTTTAGTAAGTAATGGAATCTAAAGGGTAGTGCTAAGGATTTAAAGGAAAAGTGGCAACATTGTGTAGATAGGTCAAAAGAGAGCTTCAAGCATTTGGAGCTTGTTGAGAAAAGTAAGAGTCATTTAAGAAAAAATGGAATCTTTGAACTGGTGAACATGTAGCACTAAAGAAGCAGGAAGTTGCAGACAGGACAAAAGTGATGAAGGATCAAAGATGTGCCTAATCAACAAGGTGGGTAGTGAGGTTGGCAACAGATATGAGTATTATGTGAGATTTGGTTTTGGATGTACTGAGTCTGAGAAGATTCTGGACTGTACAAGCACAAATATCAGATAGTTGGAAATTAGGGCTTGGTTCTTAGTGGTATGTAACTGGTGCTGAAAGTCAGGGCACTTGATGGAATGACCAGGAATAACGATGACAGTGGTATCTTATAGGAGCACAATGCAAAGGGGGGTGGATAGAATATGAAGTTCTCCTTTTGGTAAAGTTGAATGAAAAATAAGTAATATGGCTAAGTACAGAATCAAGGAAATCAGAGATGAAGGGGATCAAGCAAGAGAGGTTGATCAACTGTATTGAGAGACAGATGAGAGATCATGGAAGCTAAGAACTCTGAATTTAGGAGTAATTTTGGCAAGGGAAGTTTCAGCAGAGAGCAGAAGGCAGAGTCTAGGTTGCAGGAAGTCAAAAGGGGGATGGATGAAAAACTGAAAGTGGAAGCAAGCAGCACACTCCCACAGTTTGGAGGCAAGGAGTAGAAGCATAATACACATATGATACTATTTGGAGTAGATGGGTCAAGGGATGTTTTCTTGAGACTGGGGAAAAATGGGGATGCAGCAGGGAAGAAGCAAGAAAGAAGAGGAGTGGCCAGCAATTTACCTTGCTTATGTCAGATTCTGATTTACTTAAACAAATACTCTGAAGTTCCTGCACAAGGTCTACTTCATCATCAGAACCAAGGGATAGCTTCTGTTCCAGGTTTAACACACTTAGCGGATCATCTTCTGTATTTCTTGGAAGGCAAAACAGAACAAATATGGCTTTATCTAACAAGTGCAGAGTTAAAAGATGACAGTCTATAAGATAGAGTCTGGAAAAGCAGTGCAGTTAAATGGAAGTAACTTTCTAGTGGTTTGATTAGAGACTACCAAGTAAACAATTTTCTGAAATGTCCCAGAAAATGGCTCGAAAGTGTAAGAATATGAGCTAGTTTAAGACACACTTTGGGCAGACAGTATATTTTTCTATCTCTTCTAAAACACTATTCAAACTGTCCTTTGAGCTGACAGAAGTAGCAGTTAAGAAACAACTATGGCAGGAACACAATACAGTTATTTAATTTTAATCTTGGTAACGTTCTCCAGTCTCAACTGAACCCTGTACTTACTTTTTTGTTAGAGAAGCTATTCTGTTGCCATTTTCCTGCAATATGTTCTTTGTCTTAACACCTGTAAAGGAGACAAGATGGTGAGCTCTGTCATACATACAGCTAGCTGAAGCATTACCGATTCTTACCAATCAAAAGGCACATGTTAACTGGGTTTTGCAGATATCCCTAGAACATCAATGAAAGGTAGCCATTCAACAATGTTTACTGGACTGTGCACCCAGTTGGCAACAAAATTAAATATGACAGCTGTTTTGTTAAATGACTGGATATGGCAATTAAATTGCATTTCCTTACCCTTTCTCTAATTTCTTAAAGTTCTATTTGCATCACTTCTTACCTTCTATGTTTTCGTCTTTTTTACTCCACGACTGGGATGATGAATTTCCTGACTTCTTCCGAGGACTTGTGCTCACTTTTCTCCAAGCAATGCCTTCGCCTCTTTTCTTGGGGCCATTCTTGTAGGTTGATACCATGGAAAGGGGAAAGTTCCCTCCTTTAAAATCAGCAATGTACTGATCCAGTTCTGAAACAACGAAAACAAAAGGCAATTGTGGTAATAATCCATTACAGAAATGCTAGAATCTAATGCCAAAGTATCTACCTCCTCCAGAGGAGTATTACTCAATTCATTTTTTGCCTCATTGTTTAATTCAGAACAGTGCACACTGCTAAAGTTCCATTGCTACTTTGCTTTTACCAAAAAACAAACAAACATGTAAGCAAGCAGAAATAGGAAGCAACAGAAAGGCAGCATTGTGGAAAGAAAGGAAGGATGAGAAAAATCAGAGAAAATGGTGATTAATACCAGAAGTCAACCTGCCTCCTAGCGGTCAGAAAGCAGAGCCCCCACTGTCTGAACTATGGCAAATACCTAATCTGATCAAAAAGAGGGGGAACTTAAGATGTTTTCCAAAATTAAAAACAGTGAACATGAGAAAGAGAGAAATTCAATGAGAAATCCAAAGCTCATAGTAGATTAATGTCATTGGATGAATTCAACAGTAAAAGTGGTTCCTCACAGTCTTATTATTGTGAACAGGAATCAGCCCCTCATCTGTAACCCTTTTTGTGTTTGTTTTTGTTCATCAGTGATTCAGTGCACTCTGTGCCTTGAAATTATAGGCTAATCTGGATGTTGATTGAGTGTATTCCAGGTCAAAAGAATTATAGCCTTTCTTTTTGCACCAAACCTTAGTTCTAGAAAAGCTGACCCATTTCCCATCTCACCTGCTCTGGGAAGAGGACATCCATGCAACACAGCTTTATTTAGGAGAATGCTGAGTGCCGCTTTTACTACAGCCTGTTGCCCTTGGCTTGGACTTTTCTTGACTGCCAACTGTCCCAGTGTAGATGGTCTTTTTAGAGAGGCTCTGGAGAGAATTGCTTCTTGAACTCGTGGAGCAATGATAGCATTCCATAATTTGGACATCCACCTGAAAACACATAGGGTGGAGGGACAGAAATAGTAGAAAGATGTGAAAAACTGGAAGTAACATTTATCATGCAACACTAGCAGACACAGGTCTTTTCTTATGATCTGATAGAAAGACTGCAAAGGGCACATAAAGTGTCTTTATCAACTGCTTCTTTACTGAAGAGTCTCATTCCCAGTAGGACTGATAATGACATCAACAAGAAATGTGTCAAGAAAGCCTTCTGTTAAAGGGGTGATAGATAGTACTACGATGGTGGCCACAGACGAGCTTCACGTTTGGCATACAAAATAGAACTTGAATGCAAATGACAAATGATCTTCTTCACAACATTAATTACTTCCAAACAAACCACATTTTAAATCTCTCCAAACTGGAATATGTACTTTTAGTACTAAATGTTGATAGTTTCCCAGTACATGTTATTTGAGTAGAGGAATCAGAACTGGAATCTATGACGTAAATAGACCGATCATTTCTGACATTTATTTCCCCCACAGAACGGAATAAGCATAACACTTGGAAAACTGGGAAGAGGAGTTGTGTGATTTTCAGGGACACTTAAATTACAGCACCTGTCTTTACAGAAATGTGTCGTGACTCTTACTTCAATGAGTGATGATGCTTCAATGCCACACAGGAAATTTTGAACCAATATAACTCTACCCTTGTTTCCTAAGGGCTCTGTAGAAACTTGCCCTTGAGTTGCCTTAAGTACCAGGGAAGTTAGGAAAGGCTAGGGGAAAATGCTCTCTTTGTGGCTGTTTTCTGCATTATGACTAAGCAATCTAAGTCACTTCTTATCCAGGAGCTGAAATTTTGTTGTCTAAATCATGAAGAGATAAATAGCAATAGCTTTCAAATTCATAAAGGAAGGAAGAGCCAGTGTACTGCTAAACTCTAACCAGGATTCAAGTCACCTCTTTCACCTTCAAGTCAAAAGTCAAACCCATCCTGAACAATCTTTTCAAGGAAACCCTATAATAAATCCATATTATGGTCTCCATAAGTCAGAAATGACTTAAAGGCACAGAACAAGCTTTCTGAATTCACTGAAATAACAGCACCAGGAAAAGAGTGATTGAAGGCTAATAGCTTTTCAATGCCTAGATAGTGAGAAAAACACATGTTCACAGTAGTTGCAAAAGGGAGTAAGTTGACAGTTAAAAAAATGACTGCTATCTCATTCACTGTACCAAACAGAAATATAAATTCGGATGATATTTCCAAGCTGGAGGTGCACACTAGGTAAAGTTTTATCCTACCGAATTACTTATATACAGAATCTCCATCCAGGGAAAAGAAAAGAGATAACAACACTGCAGGTGAACGTCAAGCATATATGTTCAAAGGATCTTTCTTTGGTGATATACACAAGTACAAATTGTAGTACATGAAAGAAAAACAATGATACTGGTTTTGTACAGCTTTTTCCTCTAATCTCTTTGTCACAGCCTGTGGAGTGATTTCCACAGTGTAGTCTTGATCAGTACTATTCAAAGTAATGATCCTTGTGCTGGCGCTGTTCCCTGAGCAATTGTTGCCAGTTCCTGACAAATTCCTGAAAAATAAAATTCAAAAAATCTGTAGCCAGTGAACACAAATATTGTGCTAGTCCCTGGCACAATGAAGGGAAAAGTTGCCAGTCCCCCATGTTTGATAGATTGAGAAACACTGATCTAGACCACCTATTTTCATTTGCTATATAGCTTCCTGGACCTAGATGCACTGCATTAATGAACCAATATTTCTTTTTTAAAAACATGGATAGAAAGAGTGACAAGATGGAAAGGAAAGTGGGAATCTTATCTTTTGATCCATAGAAATTTATTTAGGCTCCTTATACTGAGATAGATCTAGTCAGGCTCTATTTGCTTTGCCTGGAAGCTGTTCTCCGTGGAATCAGTTCTCCCCTTCCATCTCTCTCTCTGAGCCTACAAGAGCTTTAAGTTTGGCTGGGGAGGCCGTGCTCTCTGTTCCAACTTCTTTGCAAATGCGATTTGTTGGGACAAGACAGGGCCTTCTCAGTGGTGGCCCCTTGGCTGTGGAACTCCCACCCAGTGACATCAGGCAGGCCCCATCACTCCTGGTTTTTAGAAAGAAACTTAAGACCTGGCTTTTTTTGCAGGCTTTTGGTGAATAGGAAACTACAGAATGAGACTTAAATAGCTTGAATAATGAATTATGGATTTTGAAAAATGATTTAGACATGAGATCATGAATCACTGTTTTATATATGGTTTTAATCTGTTTGATAGATTCTTATGTGTTTTAATTGCTTATATGCTTAGATTGTTTATATTTTTATGAGATAAGTTTTCTTGTTTACCTGTGAGGCACTGATTTTTTGCCAGATTTGTAAGCCACCTTGAGTCCCCTCCTGGGTCGAGAAAGGTGGGGTAGAAATGAAGTAAATAAATAAATTTCACTTTCTACATGCTCTTTTTTATTGAAATGTCAGAGATCTAACCCAGAACTTTCTGCATACCAAATATATGCCCTATTATTGAGTTACAGTACGTGTTAAGAAAGCAGGTGTTTCAAAAGCATCTTATGGAAGGGTGGAAAAAAAACTGCACTTGCTGAAATTTTCCCATATACACTTGAAGGCACCTGTGTGTACCCTTACACTTGTTGTTAGAATATGCACCTTAAAATGGCACTTAAGTGCAGTTGAGTGGTAAAATAAACAAGATAAGATAGGGTTTGTCAGTCACATTCAACCTATTTACAAGCAAATCCAAAGTTTCTAATTGCTATCTTACAAAATGCAATTGAAGCAGAAGTTTGACTTGAAGCCAAAAACAGGTGAATTGAAGAATTGGGATTAGGAAACCAAAAATGGGATCATGGAAACTGGAGCAGGATTGTAGAAGAAAATGGATTTTTAAAAAATGTGCATTTAATGCCACCACCCACATATTTAAAATATTACCTTTCATCCTGTGCACTAAATATATGACCCCCACCCAAAAAAAGGGATGGTTTTTTTTCTCCTTTGAATTTATGTTGATTTACTGTGTCAACATTTTGGACATTTTTGTCCAAAATGTCGACAAAATCGTAATGAAGACACATGCATTGCGATTTTGCTTCTAGTATATTTTTTAGTGCTCTCCTGTTTTATTTATCAAGGAAATAAATATTTCAAGAGGACTATTCATTTCTTCTGGTTGTCTCGGATCACATTATTATATTTATTTCCTACCATGTTTAGATGTAAATGCAACATGATTTCTCATCTTCATAGCAAATGCTCCAAAGCAGACTAATCATTGCTTTCATTTTAGGAGCTGAAACTAGGGACTTGGGGTAGGAAGCTGCTGAGAATCACTTGACAAGGAAACAGTTGAACTGGGAATTTAACATCCCAGTTGATTGCTTGCTGCTCTTGTACGCCTTTAAGTCATTCACAACACATAGTGAACCCTAAGATGAATCCATAATGTTTTTTTTGGGGGGGGGGGGTGGTGGTTGAGAGTGTGTCACTCACCCAAGACCATCCAGAGATTTTCCATTACCAAATGGAGAATCAAACTGAAACAATTATACCACGCTGGGCATAGAACCAATGCCAGTCATAGGTAACAATAAACAGCTCCCAAGGACACCAAAGTTCTGTTCCCAACCACTAAGAATTTAACAACTGACTTCTATAATCAGATATCATGTATTTACAATCAGACATCTCTATAGTAACCAAGGCTAGTAACACACCTGAAAAATGAAAAAGAAGAAAGCTGAGGTTTTCAGCATGTTAAATTCTGTACTATAAGCTGCACCTACATAGAATTTAAACAACATAAGTATAAATCCAGTGAAGCAGTAAAATGGCAAATCCAATGGATATTCATTGTTCCTGAAAAGAAGAATTCAACCTCATATTAATTACATCTTCATTGAATGATAGAGGAGGCAATGACTCCCATCATTGTGTGTTTTTAAATTTTATTTTGTGTCACAAGCATTGCATAAAATAGTTTCTCTAATATTGATACAATAAAGGGATCACAAGCTGCTAGATAGTTTTAGATTAAAAACGGGCAACAGCAACTGCATTGTCTGTAGCTTTAAACAATTCTGTGAATGAGGCAGGGCATAGTGGGTAAGCTACAGATGTGGAGTTGTTTGTTCTGCTCCAAAGTCACACAAGGTGGAGGATTCTTCTAGGAGTGCTATTTTGCCAGATTGTCTTTTGATCTGCCAACTCAGGTTCTGAATATGTCCAGGGACTTCCAAGTTGCCTGTTCTTGGTTTGCCCCTGGAGGAAGACTCTTGTGAGGGCCATCCATTTGGAATTGCCTGATTTTGCAGCCCACAGGGATACTCTTGCTGGTGCTGGGGGAACATTTAGATGAGTGGTGGTTCTCATGAAACTTTCCCTTGATTTAAGTTTACTGGGAGGAGTCCAATAGCCATATAGTGGGTGGCTTTCACAGTGTTCAACCTTATTTCTCTCACAATTGGCAGCAACTTCCCGTCGCCCATCAGAGGAGGCAATGCCAGCTAGCTCATAGTCTATCAACAGGTCTAGGTTTAAGATGTCTTATGATTATTCTATCTGTCTCATTTAGTGCTATGTTCACTTGTTTCACATGGGCAGAGGACACAGAGATCCCTAGAGATAACATTTTTAATAAAATATGTGAAGAATCAAATCTGCAAGAGTCAAAACTGCAAAAGTGAATACAGATGGCCCTCTACTTTTGCAGGTTTCACACTCATGAGTTTGATTATTTGCAAGTTTAAAATCCCCCCTCCTCTGAAAGCTTTCTGTGGACTGGCAGCCAGTGGTTCATGGACCACTGATTTGAGCAACCTTGTTCTGAAGGGTGCTACTGCATAGTAATTTTTAATGAAAATACAGATAAAAGTCATACTTCACAGTTGCATGGCTGTGGCCAGGCACCACTGGACAAGACATGAAGTGCTTTGGTCCCACAAGTGCTTCAGGGGCACCGAGACGTGACAAGCATGAATTCAGCTGGTGCCACACCACAAGAATCCACTCCACCATCTTGCACACTGGATCACATGGAGGAGGCATCTTTCCTCTGAACTGTAGAGAATAAAATAAGCAGTTGGTTTGAAAGCATTTGCACCTTTTTGCAAAATCAAAAGTTTCACAATTTGACCACTTGCATGCAAGAAATAGCTTTTATAAAGAACAACAGCAGCACCAGCAGTGAAGTGTGATTTGCGGCCTCACACATATACTGCTTGATAACTAGCACCAAGTGGTCATTGTACCATGGATCAGTTTTCCATTTTACATCTTTTAACCACTGTGCAAATGCTTTTCCATGGAGTTCATTCATACAATGTACCCAGATTTTGTTTCATAAACAAATTATCAAAAATATTATGCCTATAATTACTTTAAGGTTATGTGTATAAAGTGCATTTAAAACAAACATGAATTTCATGTGTAGACGTGAGTCTTCAAAATATCTAATTTATGTATATGAACTTATTCCAAAATCTCTCCCACCTCCCGCCCCCCCAAATCCAAAATACACAACACTTCTGGTTCCAAACATTTTTGGATAAGAGATACTAAATCTGTTCTTGAAACTTTGATTTCAGCCATGAGAAAAAATCACTATATTTCTAATTTCATTGTGGGCTTGTGCCTCAGAAATATATACAGCCTAATAACATGCAAACCCAATGGTCTATGGAACATTTTGTTTAATTCCCAGTGAAACTATTAAAGTGATATTAGCTAGGCAGTCTACCTGCAATTGTCATAACACACACCTCCAGAAGAAACAAGGTATAACATTACACTTAGCAAGAGTCTGCTGTGTTTACCGAAAGGATAACATCCAGAGTGCAGATGCTATTGCTAAAACCATCTTGCCAAGACAAGCTTGCAGAACGTGCCTGGTGTATCTTTAGCTTTACCTAAGAACCCAGAAATCAAATGGGATTGCAACAGTTCCTCTCAATTAACATTTTATGCTAACTGGGGCACACATTCAGATTGACACACTGCTGGTATGTTCCATCTTTGGTGGTGGAAACATACATGGTGTTGTAAAGTGACTTACTCAGGTCCCCAATGAGCTTGCATAACAGCAAGCGTGAATGACGGTTGAAGTAGCATTCAAAGTTCAGTGGATAAGAGAAGGCTTTATAAAAAAAACCCTCTGAATCATATAAAAGTTTTAGCAAGGCTACATCAAGCTATTTTTTTTTTACTGCTGTAGGCCAAAAATTACATCATCCACAGCATAGAAAATGATCGGACTAGCAGTTGAACTTTCCTTCAACATTGGCAATAAAGTTCTTTATCAAACTTGATGGCAGCTGGATGGTTTAAGGAGAGCCAACAGCCTGTGTAGGACAGCTCTGTCTTTCAAGTGAAGTCATACCTAGCAGGCTCTTAAGGAAAGATGGGGAAAAGGGCTATCCTCCAGCATTTGCCATCTGAGGCAGCAGAACAGCCCTGAAGCTTAGCCTGTCTGGACACAGTGGAATAATGTGAGCTAGATATATCAGAAGCAAATGCATCAGAGCTATACTTGATGTGGAACGTGCTAAGTTGCTCAGCATCATTATTGAAAAAGCCCTTTTTCCTAGACAAGGAAAGGAAAAAAATTAAAGCCTTAACACTCCACACCAGGGCCAATAGTTATTTAAGGCCCTTTCTGATAGATGATATGGACAATAAGGCCATCTCAACAGAATCGGCCTTGAGCTTGGCATGTGGGCAGCTGCTGGGTTTCAGGATCTTGGCAAGGCTGACTGTGGATGCCTTTCCTGCTCCTTTCCGTTCCTGCTCCTTTCTTTCCTGATAAGCACCATTTAAATTCCTTACAATTATCTCAGTGAAGCATTGCTCCAGGGTGCTGTGAGAAACTGGAATGACAAGATCCTGCAATGCTTAGAATGCCCTGGTCTTCCAATGCCTAAGTAAGAAAAGCAGGCCCTATTGATGCAATGTTTCTCAACCTTCCTAATGCCACAACCCTTAATACAGTTCCTCATGTTGTGGTGACCCCCAACCATAAAATTATTTTCGTTACTACTTTATAACTGTAAATTTGCAACTGTTACGAATCGTAACGTAAATATCTGATATGCAGGGTGTATTTTCATTCACTGGACCGAATTTGGCACAAATCTTGATATGCCCAATTTTGAATACTGGTTGGCTTGCTGGGAGGGGGGGAGTGATTTTGTCATTTGGAAGTTGTAGTTGCTGGGATTTATAGTTCATCTACAATCACAGAGCATCCTGAACTCCACCAATGATGGAATTGAACCAAACCTGGCACATAGAACTGCCAACAAAAAATACTAGAAGGGTTTGGTGGGCATTGACCATGAGATTTGGAGTTATAGTTCACCAACATCCAGAGAGCACTGCGGACTCAAACAGTGAGGATCTCGACCAAACTTGGCATGAATACTCAATATGCCCAAAAGGTGGAGTTTGGGGATAACAGACCTTGACATTTGGGAATTGTAGTTGCTGGGATTTATAGTTCACCTACAATCAATCCCACCAAGGATAGAATTGGGCCATACCTCCCACACAGAACTCTCGTGACCAACAGAAAATATTGTGTTTTCTGATGGTCTTTGGTGACCCCTCTGTCAATCCCTCATTACCTTCCCCACCCAGGGGTCTCAACCCCCAAGTTGAGAAATGCTGCATTGACACTGCCCAATGCCCTGTAGCACTAGAACAGGCTGTGCTAACCAGTATGTTTATTGTAATAAAAGCATATCAATGACAAAAGCAAAATGATGAGTGCAAACTCTTCTTATAGGTCTTTTAAGTCTTATTAGCCTATTGATAGAAATTCAAATATTCCCATTCTGGAAAGATAGCAACTGATTATCCATAATCAACTTAAGAGGAAACTGAAGCATATAATTCAGACCAAATCAGGCTTATTTTCAATGTAAGCAGCTTCACAAACGTAGGCTCTTCTTGTTCTGTAACAACAGTATTAAGAAAGTGCCAAATACTATCGTTCCCTTACAGTGACAGCCAGCTGGTATTATTAATAACTTAAAATTATGCATTCAGCTTTTGTTGTGGGTGTTCACTAATTTGCTGCATCTCTTTCACTGTATTCATACACTTGTTCCGTTTTGTTCGTTTTTGATAAAAGCACTGATAGAAGATGGAGAGCACTTCAGGCAGTTATCAGAGGGGGAGACAAAGCCTGGAAGAGGACTGAAGAGCCAAACACAAGCGTTCAGTCAAGGGATAATGCAGTGCTTTGAGGCAAGAGCTAAAAAGGAAATCCTTTCATAAGAACAAACTCATGTTCTTCCTAATCTCATTAGAAGCAGTGCTTTCTGGTATGCAGGAAAATTTAAGAGACTACTGTAGAAGGAACCTTCCTCCGCCCCCAGCTCTATCTTAATGGTTCGGCTGTGGACATTTAGTTGAAATTACTTTTAAAAAGGGAATAATCATAATCAGGGACGTGCACATCAAGGGCTGCATATTAAGGTAACCCAAATTCAGTACCTTCAGTGCATTATGGGAATTAAGCAGACTGGCTTATTTTGCACAATTCATTCTTCTTGCCCTCATTATAAAAAAAATCAAAGAAGCTATGGTATCCCTTTGGGGGGAAAAACCCTACACAGCACTCACCCTGGATCTGGAGATAGAAGAAGGCAACCAGACTGTTTTCAAGATGTTCCAGATCTTGGCTGGCAGCCTCTTAGTGGCATCTTGTGCATATTTAATGGGAGTAAATTCCATTAACATAAAGGGGACTTGCCATATATCTGACTAAACATGTTGTTAGGGGCATAGTAAAGTAAAGGTTTCCCCTGACATTAAATCTAGTCATGTCAGGCTCTGGGGGCTGATGCTCATCTCCATTTCTAAACTGAAGAGCCAGAAGTGGTCTGTAGATGATTTCTAGGTCATGTGGCTGGCATGATTGCATGGAGCGCCATTACCTTCCCACCAAACTGGTACCTATTGGTCTATTCACATTTGCAAGTTTTTGAACTGCTAGGTTGATAGAAGCTGAGGCTAACATTGGGAGTTAACCTTGCTCCATGGATTTGAACCACCAATTTTTCATTCAGCAAGTTCAGCAGCTCAGTGGTTTAACCCGCTGCCTCACCAGGGGCCCCCTTGTTAGTGGCATTCACAGACTTTTTTTTCAATATGGGGATTAGTATTTCTTTCCTCCTTTTGGAACAAAGTTCCTTTGGGCCAACTGTATAGTTTCAACCCTCCAGCTACACATATATGGTGGAGTGGAATAATCAGAGAAGCATCTGGCTATGTCTCCCAAAATGATTACATAATCTGTTAAGTTCTACAGGGAGCAGACTTTGGTGGAGAATGTAATCATTTCACATCTGGCTATGAGGACATAGTCAGATGCTTCTTCAATTCCACCATTGCTCTCACCACTCGCTAAATGGCCATAAAGCAGTGGCGGCAGTGACCCTATGGTCAATCTAGGAGCAAGTGAATGGATAACTGTAGTGTTGGCCATTTATGTGGAACCATATAGGATTGTGCCATTCAACTTCCATAAAGACAACATTCACAACAACAATTGTTCATGTGTCTCGAGCTAATGAGACTACTGGTTGAAAAACACATCATATATTAATCCAGACCAGGGAAGAATGCAAATCTGAGAATTATAGCACTGTGATGCATGTCTTACGTCTTGCATAACACTACAAGCTCCAAATATTTGTGTCTATCCCAGAAAATGCCCATGTTATTTTTAACTACCATGGCCAACAGTTTTGTAATAACAAGCTGAGATGACAACCAGTATATTTTTCAGTTCAAATCGCAACCAAAAAGCCTTAATTACATCATCACTGTACTGAATGCTGTGATTATGTATGCAAATTGCCTTGGGATCTATTTATGAAAGCACAATTTATAACTAGGTCCCATTTAGGACAGTAGTGGGCCAATCTTATCTCCTGCAATCTCCAGGAACTGCACTGCAGCAGATGAGTGCACTTAAGTGAAATTGTGTCACTTCTGATTGCCTTTTTTTTTTGCTTATTTCAGTCATTTTTGGGTAATTGAGGAGTTGGGTGGGTGAGATAAACCACTGCATTTATATATTCTTTGGTGGTGGAGTTTTCATGTGACTCATAACTTACAGCCTTCATTCCTCTATCCTCATCCACAATGTGGACAGCATCGGAAAGGCACTGTCTAAGAGAAACCATCAAATGGGTTTCTTAGTTTTCTTAAGAGCAAAACTATCTCTCAAGTTGGCTATGTCTCATCAGGATGATGAACTCTCTCTTGCTAACAAGGTATGACATTTTGGCAATCTTCATATTCCCTATAAAATTTAAGATTAATAGCTCATGGTGTCTGAAAAAATTACTAATTTGCTGCCGAACTGAGAAAAGTCCATGAAATCCTGTCTGTTTGTTTTTTCCAATAGCCAAATCAAAGTCCATAGAACCAAAGAGGTCATTCAGGCTGAATTATTATGAAATAATTATCCAATAATTCAATCACTGAACTCTTTGTGTGTTGACCAGAAGACCCTTATTTATTTATTTTTATTCTTATTTTTAAAAAAAATAAAAATAAGTGAAATGGAGTGGCAACAATTATGGAGACAAAGACATTTAATAAATTATCAATTCAGGTTAAAGAAAATTACTATAAGTTAAAATGGAAATGGTACCTACCACCAGTAAGAATAGCAAATATAAATAAAAACTACTCAAAAAATTGCTGAAGAGGATGCCAAGAATCAGGAACATATATACATATGTGGTGGCAATGTAAATGTGTAAATAATTTTTGGAGGAAAGTATTTAGAGAAATAGATGATATAATGAACATTAAAATAGGAAGTATAGCTTCATTATCATTATATAATAATAAACAATTGAAAAAAGAGGATAAAGATGTGATAAACTTATTAACAATAGCAAGACTAAGTTCTTGTGGGTTTTTTCGGGCTATATGGCCATGTTCTAGAGGCATTTCTCCTGACGTTTCGCCTGCATCTATGGCAAGCATCCTCAGAGGTGAGGTCTTCTTAGCAAGACTTCTTATAGCAAGGAGTTGGAAAAGAGAACTAAATATACAAATAGAGGAGTGGTACAAAGAAGTATGGAAATTGGCAATAAATGATAAACTGACATGTATATTAAAAGTTAAAAGAGGTATATGGAAACAAAGTGATTTCGATGATGTATGGAGAAAGTTTACTGAAAAGGGATTAAAAAGAAAGAAGGAAAGTTGCCTCCACAAGAAGAATTGAAATTTTGGACAGATGATATGTAAAAGCCGTGACTTGGGAGTGGAGGGGCAACACAGTGGTGAGAGATAGATAATATGTATAAGGAGAAAAATAATAGCAGATCCCAAAAGTTAAATTATGGTAGGTTGTATTGAATAATATGTATCTGCTGTAAAACAAATAATGTATAAAAATGTATTGAATTATGATAAAATAATAATAATAAAAAAAGAAGACCCTTATTGTATTTATTGTTCTTGTTTAATTAATTTTCTGTAATTGGACTGGACATCTCTGTTGGAGAACAGTGACCTGTGATTCAAGTATGAATGGCCCTTACCTTACTTAATACCTTCCTGCGTAAGAATCGTTGTAGAAGGCCATGGGTTGGCTCTCCATCCCATCTTAGCTGAACCCAGAGGAAATGTTGCTGAACCATCAGGTCAGAGCCTTGAAGCCGAGATTTTGCAATGGTCCCCAAAAGAAAGCAGTTTTCATGAAAGTAATAAGTATCAGATACACCATTGACTGCAAGATACAAAAAAGGAAACCACTGAAATATATTCTGCAATAATCAATACTGCTCTGATAAAATGAAGCAAATGGAGCCATTGTATCACAGATGGCTTTTAATGCCAGAGGCAGAGTGAGAATTTACTTTTTTCTAAAGTAAATTTCTAAGCAGCTACTTATTACAGAAAATTTAAGAAGTATTTTTAACTTTGTTTTTGTTTGTTTGTTTGGACATTTGTATGTAGGTTTTGCATTGATTTGTCTAAATAAACATTGAATTAAAAAAAAAGAAAGAAAATCCAAGCAAAATTCAAATATTGTGTACCTTTCTTTACAGTGCAGGGATTATCAGAGCCACGGTTTTCAAGTGGTTGAAGAAACTCTCCCAGTAATTCAGATAATGAAGCTTTTTCCAAATCTTCTAAAATTACAATGATTCTGTCGCTTACAGAAGGCTGTTTCACTGGGATCAAGCAAGCTGTAAGTACAAAGAGCTCACAGTGGTTAAAAGAGAAAAATCTCCCTCTATTACAAGAGCAGTTTAGCGAGGCATATAACTAGATCAGCTTTCCATAACCAGGTACCAATCCAATACTTCAGACTATAGATATGTCAACTAAGAGCAACACTATTTGGGGATGACAGTTTGAAGAAGGATGCGTGCTGCCAACCTGAGACGTGAGGCTGCCTAAAGCAAGCCCCTGTGGAAATGAGTTACAATGCTAACCCCTTCTTGGGACAATAGCTTAGAAAGAAGAAAAAGAAGTCTGAAGAAGGATGAATTAGGATACATATAAGATTTCATGCTGATTGTTTTCTTCAGTTTAGGAGCCAATGTTTGGACTACCATTGGCAATAATAATAATAATAATAATAATAATAATAATAATAATAATAATACTTTATTTTTATAGTCCGCCTTGAAGGGACTTGAGGCAGCTTACATGTGGGACAAAATGTCGACAAAACATCAAAGCAAAACAATTCATTAAAACAAAAAAAACACAATTAAAATAAAACAAAGCAAAGCATAACAATCATATAAAAAAAGGTAAAAACAGGAGGGTATAAAACGACAGCATTAAGACTCGTTCAAAGTTGCTACTTACTTACTTACTTAGGCGATCCCTCGTTGGACGAGTAAGATGGTCTTCCATTATGGATTTCCCTGTGGGTCCGTATGTGGCTGTGGAGCCCTATTCTTGCTCTGCATCTTCTTCCGCAGTGAGGGCATTGGTTTCCAGGTGGAAGGCGGTCCCGGTCGGGGTTGGCTTGACGCGCCTTCCTCCTGGCACGTTTCTCTCTTTCACCCTCCACTCGTGCCTCCTCAAATTCTGCAGCACTGCTGGTCACAGCTGTCCTCCAGCTGGAGCGCTCAAGGGCCAGGGCTTCCCAGTTCTCAGTGTCTATGCCAGAGTTTTTAAGGTTGGCTTTGAGCCCATCTTTAAATCTCTTTTCCTGTCCACCAACATTCCGTTTTCCGTTCTTAAGTTCGGAGTAGAGCAACTGCTTTGGGAGACGGTGGTCAGGCATCCGGACAACGTGGCCGGCCCAGCGGAGTTGATGTTGGAGGACCATCGCTTCAATGCTGGTGGTCTTTGCTTCTTCCAGCACACTGACGTTTGTCCGCTTGTCTTCCCAGGAGATTTGCAGGATTTTCCGGAGGCAGCGCTGATGGAATCGTTCCAGGAGTTGCATGTGACGTCTGTAGACAGTCCACGTCTCACAGGCATAGAGCAGGGTTGGGAGGACAATAGCTTTATAGACAAGCACCTTGGTCTCCCTACGGATGTCCCGGTCCTCAAACACTCTCTGCTTCATTCTGGAAAATGCTGCACTTGCAGAGCTCAGGCGGTGTTGTATTTCGGCGTCGATGTTGACTTTGGTGGAGAGGTGGCTGCCAAGGTAGCGGAAATGATCAACATTTTCTAATGTTACACCATTAAGCTGTATCACTGGCATTGGAGAGAGGTTGGCTGGTGCCTGCTGGAAAAGCACCTTGGTTTTTTCAATGTTCAATGACAGGCCGAGCTTCTCGTATGCTTCTGCGAAGGTGTTTAGAGTGGCTTGTAGATCTTCTTCTGAATGCGCACAGACGACATTGTCATCAGCATACTGGAGTTCTATAACAGATGTTGTTGTGACCTTGGTTTTGGCTTTCAGTCTGCTGAGGTTGAATAGCTTGCCATCTGTCCGATAGATGATTTCCACTCCAGTGGGAAGCTTCCCATCAACAAGGTGAAGTATCATAGCGATGAAGATGGAGAATAGAGTTGGGGCAATAACACATCCCTGTTTGACACCGGATTCCACTTTAAATGGGTCACTTTGGGAGCCACTGCTGTCCAAGACTGTTGCCATCATGTCATCGTGGAGGAGCCGCAGGATGTTCACAAATTTGCTTGGGCACCCGATTTTGTGGAGGATGGTCCAGAGAGCGCTGCGATTCACTGTGTCGAATGCCTTTGCAAGGTCGATGAATGCCATGTACAGAGGTTGGTTTTGTTCCCTGCATTTTTCTTGGAGCTGTCGTGCAGTGAAGATCATGTCCACGGTTCCTCTGGAGGGGCGGAAGCCGTTCTGGGATTCTGGGAGGGTGTCTTCTGAGAGGGGCAGAAGGCGGTTTGCAAGGATTCTTGCGAGGATTTTCCCAGCGGAGGTTAGAAGGGAGATACCTCGATAGTTTCCGCAGTCTGTTCTTTCCCCTTTTTTGAAGAGGGTGATGATGGTGGCATCCTTGAAATCTGCTGGAATT